GGCCATTTATTGTTTCCCTAAAGGGTCTTGATTAAAGAATAGTCCTTAAACTCTTCACAATTTGAGTAAACCTAAGTCTTTACTGAGAATATCTACTAGGCATTTTCATTTCACTGAACTACATGGAAATAGACAAACTTTTGTTTTCAACCTTTTGTGTATGTACTAGGAACTTAATTTAAGTACATGTATCAATAGCATAAAGGTCAATTAAACTAATAAACCACTTGCACGATGACACCATTTTACTACTTCGACCAGAATCCTTCAGGGTTTTACTTTCTTGTGCAAATTAGGGCTTTTGTCATTTAATCCTTGCTGGGATAACCAAATTTAATTATGAAAGGAAAAACGTAAAGGATTCTGGTCGTAGTAGTAAAATGACGCAAGATCGTGCAAATGGCCTATTGAGGACATTGTAAATTAAGATACAAAGAAATGGACAAAAACAATTAAATCATAATTAAACTCTGCTTGACAGAATGAAAGCTTATATGTTTACGTGCAAATACATGTAATGTATCCAGGAATATGACAATAAACTTTTATATAAGTCTAAGTTTTACTTACATGTCGGACTTACTTACATGTAGGACTGTACCCTAAGCCGGGCACAGTCTTTTCCGGGAGGGACAACGAACCGATCAAGGGCGAAAGCAAGCCCCTGGGTACTGACCGCTCACCAGACCATTTCCAAACGGTCAAGCGAATGCTGGCTCCAAAAACTTTCGTCGCGTTTTCTACCGACCCGACTGACTGCCACTAAAAATTTTAAAAGTTTCTCTTTTCTATATAATCTTGTTCTGTACAGTTTCCTAATTTTTTTCCTTGTTTGTATTATCTGAATAGTGGCTTAACATACACTGTAAATCTCTCTCTCCCTCTTAGTCTTTATTTCCACACAAGATAAAAAATACATATCTTATGTTACAATATTTGAGTAAAAAGTATATATATCTAAGTTATTTACAATAAAAAAAAAAAATAATAATACGCTCACATAGCTAAATTGTATTTAAAAATTAAGCGATTAATGTAAGAGTTCTTGAATCTATCTGTATTAACTTTCGGATACTGACTTGTTCGATTCCTTAAATTGTAAGTCGATACTTTCTTCTTGGGTAATAGTCCCCTTAGAGGGTGTCGGTCTATTCCAGATACCTTACGAAATACTTTTCTATCCTGCTTTTCTAGAAGGTGCTTGATAGAAAATGATTTAGATGTATATTTACGTTTGTAACATCTATCGAGAAAACACTGCATTGCTGTCAGCTCCGCCTCAGAAGCTCCTGCATATACCGGCAACCCATAAGAGGTGCTAGGAAGCGCAATACTTGAAAGCAAGTGAGTTAACTCGGCCTGAGAATAACCTTCCTTACGTAAGGATCTTAATATAAACAAGCACTTATTCGCCTTAATCAACTTTAAATGTAAATGTAAATGTAAATGTACACTAAGCTTTCAACTCGCCCGCATTTTGCGCATTTCTCATGTTACAAGCGTGAACATCCTGTGATGTGCAAAAAGTATACACAATAGCAATAAAGGGCACTGGTCTGCGTGGCAGGCGTTCGAAAGGGAAGGGGTCGCGTTTCTCTCGCGCCTAAAACTCCCTTTCCCAAAGCTTCCTTTCCCTTCCCTTTCAAACGCCTGCCACGCAGGCTATAAAAGGCACCGTCCTTAAGGATATTTCAAGGAGCATTAGGAACGACGACGGCAACGGCAACGGCAACGAGAACTTGATATCCTATTGTCAACTGTCGAGTAGTGTTTTTGTTTATTCTCCTTGTTTTTTATTCTCCGTGTTTTTGCTGCCTGCGTCGCAGACGCTCTAAACCTTCTGTATATTCAAATGGTTTAGACGAGTGGGTGAGCCGGCTGCAACGCAGGCTATGATTTTGAGACGGTAGTTTGTTAGTCTCGTCTACGGCAAGAGAGAATCTGTCGTCTACGTATAACCTGAGAAAACGCCCGCGGTTTTGTTCAGCCCTGCGTTGCTTAAACAGCTGAACCACCGTTCCGAGTCTTCGCTGTCGATTGTCGATATTTACACGACTGAAATCAACGAGACGAGATCTGATTAGTGAGGGGAAAAGCTCTCATTTATCTCCGTTGCATGGAGAGAAGTTAAAATTGCCACCCCCTTGAAAAAGTGAGCTATGCAGTCCACAGGGAGGCGCCACAGAGATTTTCATTTTCGTCTTTCATTTGAATTTCACAGTTAAATTGCATTGCGTAAATTCAATCGGTGCAGTCTGTTCGGGAGGAACTCAGATTTTAGGTAATTTTAATACAAGGAACAATTCTTTATTGTGACCAACGGTTTCATCGCAGTTGTAGCGAACGAGTGCTTATTTTCTTTGTTCTTTTTTTAAAATCATTACTATTTTTTATTTTTGAATGAAAGACCCTGAGGTTTGGTGAAAGTCACCAAAAATAGTCAAAAACTGAAATTTTAAAGCTTTGTTTCTTGCAGTACTTGATCATCATTTTCGTGCGTCTGGCCTTCTTGCCGCCATTTCCATCCTACGGAGGTTTGACTCTGCCGTCGTGGATCCACTGCACGAAATCATTCTTTTAAGCCCTTCTTTAAATTTCTTACCACGAAAGCTGTAAATTATGGGATTGAAACATAAACTACAAACGTATATAACATCAAACACAGAGGGGAAAGGGTTGTACTTGTCCCTAGCACTAGGATCTTCGCAGCTGAGCACCATGTAAACTATTTTCGCTAGGATGTGTTGAGGTCAATTAAACTAATTGAGGACATTATAAATTAAGATACAAAGAAAATAGACAAAAACAATTAAATCACTAATAAACTCTTGCTTGACAGAAGGTAAGCTTTTTTCATATGTATACCTACAAGTATATATCTAGGAATATGACAATAAACTTTAAATTTCTCTTCTAAGTTTCACTTACATGTCCTGGGCAGGGCATCGTCTTTTATGCTAGAAATGTAGGTAGGCAAAACATCTGCCACATTTTTTCGCAGATAAATGGGGAGGGAAAATGTGTACTACCCATCATGGCATCCAAATAATCCGGCTGTTTCTCATTGTAGATGCTTCACTGACGCTGTCTGTCACTGTTACAGCTGTTTTAAAGATCTTTGGGTATCATGGTTGTCAGTGGAACTATTAGAAACACCATTAAAGGTCATTCCAAAGATTTTTTGTGGTATTGCCAAGGTAAAGCTATTGCAACGTTGTACTTGGCTCAACGTCTACCTTCGACAACATGCTAAAATCAAACAGGCGCAATTTTGCTGGGAAACTGGGACAAAGTATGAAGAACTCGTACCCAGTATTTATCGTTGTTACAAGATCCTTCTAACTGTGAAGCCACGACGTATACACAAGAATGTTCTGTACCCGGTGAGGGAAGTGGAGGGGGGGGGGGGGTTACACTTAGAGACCCCCCATGCAACAAAAACAAAATAAAACACAACACGATTATTTGGGCGGTAGACGAGAGAGAAAAAGAAATAACCAGGTTGCGATTTTTTTCTGTTTTTAAAGTGACGTGTTACGCAGAGGACCACGAGAAATAAGAGAAGGGTGTGTGGGAGGGGGGGGGGGGGGGGGGGGGGGGGGGGGGGGGAAGGGGGGCTCCATATGAAAGGGGTGCCGTTGCTCGTCGGAAATTTTGAATGAAACCCCTAAATGAGACCAATCTGGGCGTGGCCCAACCTTTTTTTGACCCCTAAAAAAGACCATTTTAAAACACAGACAAACATTTTTTTTATGTTTCGTCGCGTGCAACCCTATAAAAGAGACCTTTACTGCTAAATATAATGGCGTTTTGCCCAGAACGTCCTAAGTGACAACCTCGTCCCCAGGGCGCTTTTCCCTGGCTTGGCTAATTTGAAAACGTACTCATACCCTTACCGTATGTTCTTCTCCTGGCAATCAGCATTATACATTTAGCCTTTTCGCAGTGCTTTGGCCCTTTCCATGAAGCATGAAATAATTTCAGGTTTGACCTTGAATGATTATTCGGCTGATTTTTACCATTGCAGCCAATTTCTCCTCTATTCAAAAGGCTTTGATAGTGGATAATGGCGTGAAATTGAGAGTGGAGAGGGAAATAAACAGAGGGTGAAAGAGAAAGGAGAAAATACTTCATTCTGAACATACCAGATGTTTCTTTTATGAGATCACTTCACCGCGCGTGCAAAATTAACTGGGTGTGGCACCATATATCCATTCAAAGTAAAAGGAGTTGAAGTGTTGACAACAGCCGTGTCAAAATAAACAGGTTATAGGGTAAATCTGAAATACTGAAAGAGCATTTGTTAAAAATACCGCAGGAGTTCTTTCGCCATCTCTGCGGTTATCGACCCCACTTTTTTCCCTATTCTGACTTGTCGCGCCGATCGCGGCATTAGCTGCACGCCTGGAACAGGTTACTTTTTCGCCAAAAAAGTAACTTTGAAAGACACTATCAGCGTAAGGTAACAGCTGCAGTTAGCTGTTACCTCCTCTTGAGAAATAAATGGTGTATCAAGGTAAACAGCATGGTGCAATTTTTTCCGTCAACTCCGTTCAAAAGTAATTAACTCTTTCGAACTGATTGTCGTGTAAATTAGGTCTGCTTCAAAACCAAGTCAGTGTTAAAATAAATTTATCAACTTCCTCAAGACTAGGTAATGATAAAAGAGATCTAACGCATTATTTATTGCGTAATAGGTAATGAGTAGCGATCCGGTGTTTTGAAGAAAAACAAACTGAAACAAACACATCTTGTTTAATCGTTTTCTCGATGTTTCCACGAAGAACTAGGTGAATGTTTTAATCTCAGAACATTTTAGATTATGAGAACTTCAAATTCTCTACAAATATTTAGTAATTTTTTTGATAGTTTGTATGGAAATTATGCCCATTGCCATTCTGTGGCCAGTCGAGGAAATACTTTGAACTCAAATGATCGACTAGTCTCAATTCGGTTGTAGCAAATCCATTAAAGTAAAAAATAGTGTTGAGACTTCCATCATAAGTGAAAATGACCTTAACTTGGAAGGCTCTCTTTTCTATTCGAGTATCCCGTTCCTTGTCATTGCATTGACTGGAAATCTGTTGGTCATACAAATTGTGCACAAGACACAAGAGATGCAGACGCTGATAAATTGTCTTTTAGCGGGCATGGCCTTAAGCGACGTCATTTCTATTTTGGTATTGTCATTTTACTTCTTTGAATTTAAAACAACGTTCACCTGCAAGCTTGTCGTTATAGTTGAAATTTCAAAAATGGTTTCTTCTATTACCCTCACTATGTTAGCAGTGAAAAGATACCATGCTGTACTGAAACCTTTGAGGGCAGGACAGAGATTAAATGAAGTTAAATGAAGACAGCGTATTTGGGTAGCTGGTGTTGTAAAATGTTTCTCGGAATTTTTTTCTTAAAGAGTACCATATGAAAAATGGCGCGATTAGGCCATGGAGTTTACAGATGAATCAAGCAAGCAAGGTTTATGTTATAATACATAGTGCAATAACTTGTATTCAATTGACGGTTATACTTTACTGTTATACACGTTTGATTAAAGGCCTTTACATCAAAGAAATAGAAAACCCAGCAAAAGAGAGGGAAACAACAGTAGAGAAAAAAGACATTCATTATCACATTTCTCTTGGCAACTACAGGGGTTTTTTGTTGGTTATTCGCCATCTGAATTTTTACTCTCATTTGTGGCAGCAGGGGATGATAAACAAATAGACTTGAAGTTAAATTCTGACCTTGTATGTGTTCGATTTTATCTTCGTTTGTAATTTACTGGTACACTGGAAGTTATATTCGGGCCATGCAGCTATGTTTGACTTTATGTACGTTTGTAAGTTAACGTTTCGATCCCATAATTTACAGCTTTCGTGGTAAGAAATTTAAAGAAGGGCTTAAAAGGATGATTCCTTGTAGTGGATCCACGACAGCAGAAACAAACCTCCGTGGGATGGAAGTGGCGGCAATATGAGCCGAGGCGGGAAACAGTAATGATCAAGTATTACAAGAAACAGGGTTCCAAAATTTCAGTTGTTGGCTTTTTTCAAGTGACTTTTTACGAAAATTCTAGGTCTTTGATTCAAAAATGAAAATTAGTAATGATTAAAGAAAAAGAACAAAGAAAATAAGTCAATTCCTCCTCCTGTTACCCGCCTATTAGGTGCCACCCGTTCTTTAGAACAGCGATGAAACTGTACGTCACAAATAACAGTTCCATACTTACAATCTCAATTTCTCTCGAAAAGACGGGGCTGACTGAGTTTACGCAAATTAACTGTGAAACTTAAATGAACGACAAAACTGTGAATCTGTGTTGTCAATTCTAGTTGGCGCCTTCCTGTGGACTGCATGGCTCACTTTTTCAAGGAAGTGGCAATTTGAACTACTCTCCATGCAACGGAAATGAGAGTTTTTTCCCGTCATTGATCAGATCTCGTCTCGTTGGCGTCAGTCGTGTTTATATCGAGAGCAAAAGGAAGACACAGCACGGTGACTTAGCTGTTTGAAGGGACACAGTAAGCTGATGCACATGCGCATTCCTGATTTGCATGCCACAAGACGCGCGTGAAACAGAGAGTGAGAAGCGTATCCGGAATACTCTAAACAAACCTTGTAGAGTTGAACTCGTTACGAGCCGAAATAGTGATTATAGACCCTAAGTCATATCAGAGCACTCATGTTTTTATATACCACTGAGAATTCACCGATGGATTTTTCCATCGAAAGCCAAACATCGATGAATGCTTCTGAATTCGAACATCAGTAGAGGTGAGCAATTGCTCTGAATCATTGTCGAAGGCTCGCTGTCGAGAAAGCTTGATTTTCCAAATGTATGTAATCTTTTCCATCGGCATTTTCCAAACATATATAACGATTATTTGCTCGCCAATGTTACTGGTTCATTTCTCTTGTTACTTTGGTAAACGAAAGTGATTTCTCCCGCCCGGCGCCTACGCGTTTCTCACCTCTTCTGGTTATATTTCTTTGAACACTGTTTTTAACCAAATATGATAAAATCATGTAATAGGATGAGTAAAAGTTTGATTAAAAAGAGGTTTTCAGTTAAAGATCGAAGATCGAATGAAACACCGTAGGCGGGATTGAAGCGGATTTCTAGATGCATCCGACGCGTAGACTTGATTTCGGGTTGGGGTAAACACTTTTCAAACTGGCAAAAGTACTGTCCAGGTCAGCACGGTCCCATAGCTGACTGTGCCCCTTTAAGCAGCACAGAGCTGAACACTGAAAACCGCGGAAGTTTTCTCAGGTTATACGTAGACAAGACTGCCAAACTACCGTCTCAAAAACAATAAACGAAAAACACCACTCGACAGTTGACAACGATATATCAATTTCTCGATGCCGTCGCCGTCGCCGTCGTCGTTGCTAATTCTCCCTACTGCAATATCCTCAAGGGCGGTGCCCTTTATTGCTACTGCGCAAACTTTTTGCGCACAGTACCAGGATGGTCGCGCTTGTAACACGAAAGATGCGCGACATGTGGACGGGTTCAAAGCTTAATGTACATAGAAACGCAAAATGCTCCATGACGTAGGGCTACATAACGTCATTGGCAGACACCAAGCATATATTCATAGGAAGAAAGATTTATTTATGGCGCATAGAATTTTGCATCAGGCTAAGACTACGCGGGGTTCACATGATGCACGCGGTCTTCGCACGCGACAAGATTATAAACTCGCTTCGCGAGAACAAAAAAGAAAACAATTAGGAAACTGTACAGAACAAAATTACATAGAAAAGATAAAATCTTAAAATTTTTTAGCGGCAGTCAGTGGGGTCGGGACACTGAAGGCGCAACGAAAGTTTTCAAGCACGGACAGAAGCGAACCCCTGGGTACAAACTCTCACTTAACCATTCCAGGGTGTTAAGGGAATACTTCCTCCTGATTGGGCAACAAAATGCTTTGTATTATTGTGCCCAATCGGCGAACAGCATTTCCTCACTTCTTTTCGTATGTTTGTACACGACGGCTATTGTCTCGCCATATCTGTGCGGTTCGTTCACCAACTGGTTGTGCGTGCAAGGGAAACTTTCAATTTCTACTTTCCTAACCCGCGGCAGAAACGAAGGAACTCCAGATGACTCGGGAAAAAGTTTTGAAAGCTATCAGCAGGACCGGCCGGCCATTCCAATTTGCAGCTAGAAAATTCTGTTGCTAATCGATCTCAAGGAGTCGTTACGTGATATTTACGGAGGCGTAATCGGTGCAAGCTAAACTAAAGCTTGTATTTTCGGAAAAGTGTCTTTTGAATACTCACTGATACAAAGGTTTCCATGTTTGAGTTTTAGAGTAGACAGTAGGGAGTTTATACGCAACGAAGACAACGACGACGGCAACGAGAACGGCAAAAAAGCAAAAGGTTTAGACAAGCAAAACAACAACTTTGCACGTGCAACACGATTTTTTGTACATTTCTCTGCCGCCGTCGACGACTACAACGTGAAACTGCCTAATTTCACGTTTTGTCGAGGACGGGAACAAAAGACAACAACTTTCTTTTTCTTTTCCTGAACTTTCATGCAGTACTTTAGAATTCAACTCCAAACAAATTTGCCAACATTTGACAAATTAAACGAGATGGAATAAGCGCGATTAAGTTTGAGGCAGCGCAGATTCACTTTTTAAGTCAATCTGTTATTAAAAATTGTTACCACGAAATGGTTGTACAAAAAGTAATGTTACTGAAAAAAAACAACTGAAGAGCACTTCACCTCTTCATAAAATATATTATTTAACCAAGGAAGTGCCCGAATTTTCCTCTTATGAAGTTTATAGGCAAATTTATCATCAGTGAATGGAGAGGAACCATTTGTAGCTTTCGTGGTAGGCGCAAAAAGGGGAGGGGTGGGGGGAGATAGACTGAGATGGAATTTGAAGCTCGATAAAGTTTGAGGCAACGTAAATTCACTTTTTAAGGGACGTTTTCGTAGCCGGGCGCGGTCGTCGTTGCGTAAACTCCCTAGTATTTTCAAATGAACGGGGTTTAAAGTCTCCTGACTGCGTACATCTCTGTGGTGCAAGACACAGTCAAGTATGCCGGGCGAGACAACAGCCGTCGGGTAGGAACACACGAAAAGAACTCAGGAGATGCTGTTCGCCTGTTGGGCCAAATAAAACAAAGCATATTAAATTTGCGCCCAATCAGGAGCAAACATTCGCTTGACTGTTTGGAAATGGTATCGTGCGAGTCGGTACCTAGGAGCTCGCCTTCGCCCGTCCTTAAAAACTTTCGTCACACCTTTTCTGACTGCCCTTTCTGCATAGGTCTCGGATACAGGGAACCCGAACGCTGTATTAGTTAATAGAATAATAAGATATATTTACCTGTGTTCCTGTGTCTTTATGAGTCGTTTTAGAAGGGATTTGAATCCGATCAGAGACGGTTAACATTGCTGGTATCAAATGGTTGTTTGTCTGGCGCTTCGTAAATAGGACGCTAAAGTTACGCCTCAAGTTTCCAATATTGTTAACTATTAACTCTCCTCGGTAAAGAGGAGAAGAAAGAAACAGAGACAAGGGATGAAACTTAAATGAGGCAATTTCATTCGGAGCCGTAATTCCCTTGTTACTGAACAAAATCGGCTGGTATCCCACCCCTCGATTGATTAAAAGTTCAATTATACGGTGTTGATTGTATTGTTTGTTTTGACACCCGTTTTTCTGCTTTGATTTGTGTTGTTTTTGGAGACTACTTTTCGTCCGATCTGTGACTACAGTTGACTTGCCCGGAAGTAAAAATTGTCGCACTAAACATGTGCTTTGTCAGGTTGGTTCTACTGTTCTCGTGACAGTCACTTTTGTTTTGATTTGACAGCCTGATGTGTCGGAAGTAGAAAACAGACCAAATCGTGCGGAATGGGCGAGATGAATTTTACCGCTCGTGTAGTAAATTTTAATGTTTTTTACCAGTTTGTAACTGATGTAAATTCTCAATAAAAGCGACCAGGATCGCTTGGTAAAAATCTCTTGGTAAAAATATGCTATGATGGTAGTAATAATTGCCGTTCTCTTATATCTGGAAAGCAACTGAGGAAAATACACGAAAAAAATAGCCTACATCTACAGGCGTATTTTGGGAGGGCGAAAGCCGGATTGTTTATATTCGTACTGTTGAAACCGCCATCGTTGATGTTATGACGGGGGAATATTAGCGAGAGTAAAAATAGTGACCGGGCGCATTTCCGCTCGTGAAACTGGTCAAGTCAACTGGAATCACAGATCTTACGAATACCGCTACAGAGTTTCATCCCTTGTCTCTTTTCTCTACTCACGGCCGTTAAATTGAAACCAGAGATCGTCTCCCAAGGAGAATTAATAATTAAAGGGACACAATTATGCTCAGGCGCGAGCGTCATCTGCTTTTTCTTCAGAAGACAATA